ACAATTTTCTGAAACCTACTTTTTATTTAAAATAAAAAAGCGAGCTATTTTGACATTTTAAATAAAAATTATTATATATTTTAAATAAATAAAATGCATTTCCAGAATCCCTATTTAGCTATTTCTTTATTTTATATTTTTAATAATTTCTTGCGATCTATTTCTTATTTTACATAAATTTTTGGAACCTATTTTATATTTATTATTTCGAATAAGCTGTATCACTCTTTTATTGACTGCTACGATTTTATATTTAAAATAAGTTTCTGGAACTTATTTTATATTTTATATTTTAAATAGGTCGTATCAGTTATTTTACCGAGCCCTGGAAAAAAGTAACAAATCATTTCACACTTTCTAATAATAAGTAGTGGGGTGTACTAACTGTATAAATACATTACTTTTATAAAGTGACGTAATTCCTAACCTTGGTGATTCTTATATGTGAATAAATCCTATATACATATAATACTAAATACATGCAGATCTATTGTATATTTAATATTTATCTTGACCAGGTATACACTCTCGTTACACCGGAAAAGCCGTATGTCGGATTGAACAGGGACGTGGATCGACCAGTCGCGTACTACAGATTATCCGGCGAACCGGCTGCCAAAAGAGGCAGCTTCGACGACATCATTCTCATTCCGCAAGGAGGGCGGAAATTGATGAAGCTGAACGGTAACAATAAGGGCGAATTGATCTTGGAACTTCGCGTCATAGCCAATCACGATAGTGCGCAACTCGCGCGTTAAAATTAAACTTTCATTCATCTATGTACATACGTATAATATATACATATACATATATATATACATATACGAGAGAAGCGCGCGGCGCGATGCTTGAATTGATAAGAAATGAACGTTATGCAGTTAAATCGCATTGTTTTTATTACGTTCAATTTACAACAACGAATACTTTCTATCGATACATATAGATACATCGGAATACTATTGTAATATTTACAATACATATCACATGTCGAATTCGATCAGAGCTATTTCACTCCAGCTGATCCGATCAGATCTTTAATATGATCCTTTAATTCATGGATTGATCCGTACAGCTTTTGATTATTCAGAATCGAATGAGAATTGTATACAGAATCAGTATGAAATCAAGGAAGACAGTTTCGTTTCTAGATAATAGTGCAACAACTAGATGTGTGTATTTGAAAAATGTTGAAGAAAAAATGTAAAAGTATACGTAACAAAAATATATCGTTTACAAATATCTTTGAACATAACTCTGTTGAAAGAAATATATTTTTACAAAAATAAAACAATATTTGAAGAGGATCATATATATATATATCTTTCGAATTGTCGTACGAATGTTGCGTATCACACGTTGCGTACGTGCGACATATATTTCACTGATATAGGTTCAATCTTCCTTGGATCTTATTGCACATTCCGGCAAATTCTATCTTGCCTCTGAGGTATTCATACTATATTTTTATATTACGGCGAAAGAATGCTGTCGTCACGAGTGCAGTTTCGAAGGTGTTACACGAGAAAATAACGACACTATACGACTATTTTAGTGATTAAAATGGAAGGCGCGCATCCCTTTGCAAATCGCAAATTCGGATAAGTTAGGATAAGTTATTCCGTTACTTGTGACGTTTGCTCGGTCGATGAATCATCCTTCGGCTCTTTCACATAGTCCACCACTAATTCGAGACCAATCAGAGCCCGTAAATCCTTTCTCTCCTCTTCGGGATTTGTAACCGTATTGCCAGTGTCCTCTACTTTCGCAGTGCAGTCCTCGCCAGCTTGAAAAACCATTACGATATTACGAATATTTTATCGCAGGCGCATATACGCATGCCTATTCGAAAATACCAGTTAGATATCTTTAGTTTAGATTTTTAGAGTATTGAATGAATAAAAATAACAGGTGTATTGTGCTTTTAAAAGTAGCTGGTAACACTTACTATAAATTGAGATGATAAATATTTTTATTATTTTAAATAAATATGCTATAAAATAAATCACTGATATTATATGTATATGTATATCAAACAAAACAGACTAATCCTGCATGAATTCGAAAAAAGTGACATTGTGTATTAACAGCATTAGCCAACAAAATTTGCAGCCTATTTGAAAATAATTTAAATAATCTTATTAATTATACAGACATAATATTAATAAAACAAA